TGTTGTACTCATCATCCTGGTTTCATTAGAGTTGTTCTAGATGCTTATGGCTATGGGCAGGAAGGATCTCTTCTAATAGTCCATCCAAAAGTGGATCCGAAGAAACTAGCTGTTGATGCTGATCCGTCCACCCAGACCCAGCAGACCTCTCGGTCCTCTTGGACAGCAGGACTGCCTGAATGCCGGGCAGAACTCCTCCCTGAGCAATGGCCATTTCTCCCAGCAGCTTGCCGAGGCCCTCGTCTTCACGGACTTGAACTGCAGGTGCCGGGGGACAATCTCGATCCTCCCACCATCACGAGCTGCGTTCCCGACTACCTTCAAGATCTGTGGTCAGGCATTGCCTCCAGGTAGACGGGAATGCATCAACGGCACCTCCTTTTCAACTCATTTAGGATTTGGGGCTGTAGTTGAGGTATTTTTGAGCTTTGAGATTTTAATCAGCATCTCCCAGTTGTAGAAAACCACCTTTTGGTTATGGTTACACATCACAAATGTCCAAAAGTAAAAAAAGGTTTCAGTAAAAATCCTTCCAGCAGCCCAGCTTCTGATGCCCGAGAAAGTAACCATCCGGAAAAAGCGATTTACATCCAGAAAAAAAAGAGTCATTAAAGTTTTCAAACACAAAATCTCAGAATGAATGTAAGAGAGATGCTCCAACATGCTTCCACCTTGAGGGGCAGAATTCTAGAACATCCACACCTGACTCCACCCTCATTTGCAAGTAAGGCAGTCCTGGTCGGCTCTTTGCAACCCTTGAGCCCCAAAACGCTTTTGGAGGGAGCCGGACCTTTGGATGGCCAGCATGCCGATTGAGTCCAAATCTGTATGGGGGAAGTCCTGGTGGGCTCCAGAGAGAATGCTGGACTTCCGGGTGATGCCTCCCTGCTCAGGAGGCCTCGTGGGCTGGGAGGCAGCACTCAGATTGACTGATAAGTCTGGTCTGAAGGTCCGGTTCTGCTCCAGTTCCCAGTCAGTTCTGTGCGGCTTTCTGCGTCTGTTGGGCGCCAAAGTCACTGTATGAATAAGAACCAAACTTTTTCGGATCAAATCAAAACTTTCCCTCCATTTCAGCAGAAGGGCTTCTGGGTGGGACACTGTTGGCTTCTGGGAAATGTAGTTGTTTTAAGTGGCTATACAGTATAGGCTTATTGAGAGAACGACTACAAAATAGTGGCGCATGTCTAAAGTTTTTTTTTTTCTTGTTAATTTTTTCCTGTATCTTGTTACGTCCCAATCACATGAGTATTATTAAAGTTAACAATCGTGTGTCATGCACAATTTTTTTTTTCTCATGTACAATCTTACTTTGAAAAAAAAACGCAATTATATATATATATATATATATATATATATAT